ATAAGTGATGAAGAATTTGAAGCACTTCAGTCTTTGAAAAATAATCCCAACATCATAATTTGTCGTGCTGATAAAGGAAACGCCATCGTCATCTTGGATAAAAATGAATACATCAATAAAATGAATCAGATTCTTTCTTTGAAACAATTCAAACCTACTTCCAAATCTCTGCTAATACAAAAAGAAAAAGAAATGAACGAATATCTACGTTATCTCTATGAAACTGAACACGCAATTGATGAAAATTTGGAGATAAAAATATAACAATTGCTTAATAGCTTGAAACTAAATGAATCAAATTTCACAAAAGGAATGCTATTCTCATTAATGATCTTAAAAAAGATGCCAAGGGATTTAAATGCAAGGTGAAGTAAAAAAATGCTCGGCACATATAAGTATAGAGGAAACACTGTTATTCCTTACACTATCATTAATCCTACATTCGCTTTTAAACATCTTAATACCTCGAACATACGTTAAAAAAGGTGAAGTGTCTCGTTATTCAAATGAAGACTTTCAACTTGCATTCAAAGAAAGGATTTGATCAGAAATCATGGAATTTTTCCCACTCTAAGCGTATCAGAAAATGGAAATAGCTTATGAGTGTATAACTACCTTGATGTCCGTTTGCTGTAATTTTGTCACTTTTCTGGGTAACAATAATCAAAATGTTTGAGCTTACAGCTGGGTTTGAACTGCTGGTTCCTGTTTTGGAAAGCTTGCAGTTCGATCAAAAATAATCGTAGAAGCGTCATTCTTGCATAGTTTGAGAGACAATGATCTATAGTCATAGTTTCAAAAAATAATAATTTTAAAATAACTTCTTTACGGTATTAGATTATAATTAATAAGTGCTAATTAATACTAATTAGCATTACTCTGGTGCCTTACACTTTTATTTGTAAGTTACCGCTTTCTTACGACGAAACGAGAAAATTCGCAGTTATCTGTAGACAATAGTCCGATAAAATTACGAAGCGACAATGGTCTACGAGGTCAATAATCACTGGAAGTTAATATAACAACTGTTCACTTTTTGATATTTTCGATTGTTTCACTGCATCCTCTGCAGAATCACGTAGGCGACGAATTGAGTTGACAATTGATTGAATATCTTTAATTTCTTCGTTGGCACCGTGTACTTTAAAAATCGAGCATGGTGGTTGTTCTTTCTGCATTGCCAATGATAATCTCATATAAAATTTATATAAGATTATACCAGTCCATTAGTTATTAAAGCCGATCATTTTTGGAAGATAGTAACAATACTAACTTTTATGTCATGAGATTAAGTTATTTATCCGACAACAAACAAAGATTTACCAAAAACATGAATTGGTGTTTTTGAATTAGAGCTTGAAGTGCAGCCCTCGTAGACCATTGTCGCTTCATAATTTTATCGGACTATTGTCTACAGATAACTGCGAATTTTCTCGTTTCTGCTCGTATTATCCTGATATCTTTACAAAGGATATATTTGAACAATCGTCGAAATGGTTAAACAATTCTTCCATTTGTTATGATATGATGAATTAGTTATGATCAATATATAAGTCCGAAATGGTATCTATTAGGAAACGAGTTGTTGCCACATGAACGATCGGCGAATTTGTTAACAATATTCAGTGTTCATACGATTTCAATGCCACCGCAAGTCATTGAATATTTGTTCTGGGGCTCGAAAGAAATCTGATACCTCACCTAAACCGCTGAAAACCAAGGTCTCGCTTGCCGCCCATTTTGTAGGAAACACTTTGGCCTACCTATCCATGGTGAAAGATCAATTTATTTATGCTGCTAGTTTCAGAGTTGTGGCCCGGTTTTCTAGAAACCTCCTGGAAAAAACCGGTTTTTAAAAATATTTTCGAAAGCTCGGCTGTTATATAAAGATGCGGCGATGACTTGGCTATCGAATGAGGGAAACTGCAACACTCTAGCTATTGTTAGTCAAAAGTTATTTAAAAAATGGCTTTTGTGGGTCCACAGTAATAAACCGCTTAGGAATCCAATATTTCTAAAAATGGGTTAAAATAACTGCTAATTAGTAACCTTTTGGAAAAGCTAGTATAGGGTTTTGTAGCGCTTGAAAATCTCTATCAAATGATATATTTCTTTATGATCCCCAAGAAAGCGGTAACTTACAAATAAAAGTGTAAGGCACCAGAGTGATGCTAATTAGCATTAATTAGCACTTATTAATTATAATCTAATACCGTAAAGAAGTTATTTTAAAATTATTATTTTTTGAAACTATGACTATAGATCATTGTCTCTCAAATGTCGAGCTGAGTATAGCACCGCCTAACGAACACCCAAAAAAGTTTTTATAATTTCGCTTTTTAAGCATACATTTTGAATGAACACCCACGAACATCCAAAGAACACCCACGAACACAAAGAAGAAAGGGTAAGAACACCCAAAAAAGTGCGCCAAATTCATCTTCAGATTATTCTGGGCTGAGGGTGTGGTGTGGATGTGGGGGTGAGAGTGAGGTACTGGTAGTCTCACCCACATCTCACCCTCAGCCCAGAATAACCTAAAGATGAATTTGGCGCACTTTTTTGGGTGTTCTTACCCTCCCTTCTTTGTGTTCGTGGGTGTGAATGTGGTCTCGGCGGGAAAAATTGTCCTGTTCTCCTCACGTAAGCTCGATTTACCCCGTGAAAAAGTCGAGTTTCTTGTGAAAAATCGCAAAGTCTCCCAGGAAAAGAACTGACGTTCTTGTAAAGACACATCGATTTCTTCACGTGAAAACATGAAGTTGTTTTGAAGAAACATTGGGTTTTCCAGGAGAAAAGGTGCACTTCTTGTGAAGAAACATCTGATCTCTGCTGGAAAATCATCACGTTCTCCTTACGTAAGCTCGATTTACCCCGGAAAAAGCCGAGTTTCTTGTGAAAAACCGCGAAGTCTCCCAGGAAAAGAAATGAAGTTCTTGTGAAGACACATCGATTTCGACATTTTATTTAGAACGTGATGATTTTCCAGCAGAGACCAGATGCTTCTTCATATGAAGAGCACCTTTTCTCCTGGAAAACCCAATGTTTCTTCAAAACAACTTCATGTTTTCACGTGAAGAAATCGATATGTCTTCACAAGAACTTCATTTCTTTTCCTGGGAGACTTTGCGGTTTTTCACAAGAAATTCGACTTTTTCTTGGGGTAAATCGAGCTTACGTGAGGAGAACGTGATGATTTAGCAGCAGAGACCAGATGTTTCTTCACAAGAAGTGCACCTTCTCTCCTGGATTTTCTTTTTCAAATAAAGTTTAAGCCAACAGGCGGGTATCGATGAAGATAATGTACGTGATAATGATGAGCATGCATCTTTGTATAATAGAAAAGTCGTAGAAATCAATGTTATGGTAGTTTTAGTAAGCACTTTAGATAAACGTGCTGATAACAGTATAATAATAATGCCATATAATGGCACAGGAACCATTTTTTCCTCCGAAAATATTTTAGAATTGAAGTTTGTATTAAAACATCGTGTATAGTTAGAAAAAAATTCAAGCGATATTATCTGTTTCTTTCACATATCGCCATTCAATACTTTAGTAGCAGACGAAAATGTGCCAACTTCTAAAGCTCCTGAAGTGTATAAATGACCTGATAATAGCAACCAGTATGCTCCTAATGTATCAATTTTGGTCAAATTTTCATTTCTCATCGATGTATTAAGTAACTTGTACAAGAAACTTTCCATCGAATAGAGACGAACGCAACATTCTTCAATTTCCCACTGGCTAAACTTCGAATTTTCGTTCTCCAGGTCGTGTGATGCTCAAAATTGGTACACAAGGGTAGTTCGACATGCTCTACAACATGGGCTACACGAGAACACAATACGAGAAGTTTTAAGGTGGGTTTCGGGCCAAAAACCGATTTTTAGAGGTGTTGGTTTTTGGCCTTCCCTGGTTTTTGGCCTTCCACCCTCACCCTCACCCTCACTACAGTTAGCCAAAGGATTAATTTTCCCTCAGCCAAACTTTCGCAAAAACCGGTGGTGTCCTTTTATGGAATATTAATTATGCAAAGCTATTTTTGGTCTTTGGTAAATTTAAAAAGGAGCATATCTGAAAATATTTGATTCTTGATGGAAGCATCATCAAACCAAACTAAATTCTGTTTTGCGGAAGTTAGTTTATGCACTTTTTCTTCAGAGAAATTTAGATGCTGGAAATATCGAATTCGTTTTTATTAATAGTTATTGCGAGTTACGAATTGTATGTGCACTCTGACGCAAATTGACTTCAGACGTCAAGGCTTATCACTTTTTTCGTACTTTAACAGCCACTCTGCGCCACTTTTTATCTGACTGATATCGTATACTAAAACATGAAAAGCAGAAAGGGTATTATTTCAATGGTTTCTTTGATATGTTCTATGGTTTTTCCATGAGGAATTTTCACATTAGTAATCTTTATGTATCTGAACAATCTAATTGTCGTGTCATTAAATACAAAACAACTAGTTCTATCTGTTGTAAGTAGACAAAGCTATTGTCTCTTACTTCATTTACTTTGCTTATCTGTGTTTTCTGCTTTTTTATTTGAAGTTATCGCTGGAGGTCTCAGTTTTCTGAAGAGGAGGCCCCTATTTAGTTTTTTGCTCAACCCTTCCCACTTTGCAGTGGATACGCCGAAGTATATATGCTGAAGTTTTCTCCTTAATGGCATTATTTGGCTTAGAAAACGCTTGCGCTGGGTTTCCTTTCTGCAAATTTCAATAATTCGATATCGCTTGAATGAAGGAAGAATTTCACATGCTTATTTTGCCTGTAAATCGTTTTGCAATCAAACGAAAACCCATACTTTTGCACTACCGTCTGTGAGAAAAATGCGCAAGTTGTACACAGAGCGTAAAATATATTTTATTTCCAAACACTGGAAAAGATAAACGGAAGAAATCGAAAAAAATGTATGGTAAAACGGGATGCATATAACGTAACTCCCGGAAAAATGTAAAGGTTTTGATTTGTTGCATGTTGCAGAGACTTTCAAGGACATTGACTAAGTGTAAACTTTTGTACACGATTGTTCCCTCTATCACAGATATAGACGTAGGTTTGTGTTGAATCTAATTTTACACTAGATGGTTGATTGAGTTTGTTAGCACTGAAACCTGGAGCACCAGTTTTATCAACAAATGTTATACCTTTTGTATATGGTGGTGACCATTTCTGTATTCGATGATTATCTGTATCAGCAGTATAAAGATTGCCTTTTCCATCTATTGTTAAAGCCGTTGGATAATTCAATTGTTTTGGATCCACACCAGCTGTACCTGTGCCAGCAACGACTATACGCTGAGAATACGATGGTGGACTCCACTTGGTAATACGACTGTTGCCAACTTCAGAAACAAAAACATTTTCTTCACTATCAACGTACAACCATAAGGTCGACTCATCTGAGATAGTGATCTAGCACCGGTTCAGAGCGCACAACGCACTACTTTATTTGCTATCATACCTGAATTCCTTTTAGTCAATACATCTGAGAGCAAATAAGCAGTACTATCCTTAGCTATGAATGCTGATTGATAATTAGAAAGTAGCTTATTCTTAATAGAGTGCCTGTATAATTGTCTGTGAACCGGGCGCTCTGGCAGTTTAGATAAAACTTTAACTAAAGTTAGCGGTCGATAATTAGATCGTTCTAATGAATTACCACTTTTATATAGTGGATTTACCACTCCATTTTTCCATATTCCAGGAAAAACTGACGTTTCAAAGGACTCATAGATTGATTTACAAACAGGTTTAACAATAGACTGTGCCTTATTTTTAGTCATACGATTAGTAATGTCCGGGCGCACGTGCGCGATTGTGATCCAAACTCGTGAAAGCAAGATATCACGTATCTTGACCAATGTTGAATGGTATACAGAAAGCAGAACATTCATCCAACCCTATCGTGCTAAGAAAGCCGAGAAATGACGAGAAGAAAACGAAAAAAGTGAAGGACAACTACGTGAAGAAATGCGTTCATTTTAAAAGAATTGGATCAAAAAGCTGAATTAGGTAGCCATCATTTATTATCCTACATTTACAAAAGTCACCCGCCGAAACAAGAAACAGCCCAGATGGATTCACTCGGTTCGGAAAACATAATCAAGACATTGAAGACAGCCATTTTGCATTATCATCCAGATCATCAATCGGAACAAGACGAAAAATGGAAGTTTATGTGTAATGAAATAACAAAAGGATTGAATGGTAAATATAGAATATTGAAGATGGCTTCTTAGTATGTCTTACCTGACTTTTGTTTTTCCTTAACGTTCGAACTTTTTCAACGCTTATTAAAAAGCTAAACTTTTCAATTCTTTTGGTGTTAACATCTTCAATTTTCATTGGAAAAATAATAAAACTGTGAAATTACGTTGGAATTATATCTGATAATATGTTTTTCATAATACTCATTTTTTCTAAATAGGTAACTTCCAAGACTTTACAGAGCAGCCATCATCCATCGAATTTCGGCGTCCTCGGGGTGCTGGATTTTTTTCTACATGAGAGTTCAAACAGTGTCAACCTTAATACAATCATTCTTGGCTATTACAGTCAAAATAAATATCGCATAATTCCGTCTATATTTACCCTTTCGACTCAAAATTTCCAGAAAGAATATATATTAATCCCTTTTCGCTAATTGCACTATGAAACGAGTAAGAAAAGTGTATATTTCAGTCTGTAGGCATATTCATCGTTCTTTAGACATCCTTGTCGTAAACGATCGTTACGATCGTTATAGACAGTTTTACGACCATATTATATGTGTTATACCCACGTGTTTCTCAGTGCTGTTCAATTTTAAGAGGCTCTCTGAACATAAACATTTATTTATTGTCCCTATGTAATAAGGTTGACAATTTAGACGGAAAAAGAGATAGACAATACACAAAACAGAAAAAATATATTCAATAAAAGAGAGGATTTCTGACATCAGTCTGATAGTGGTAGTGAGAAACAACAAATAAGAAATGAGAAAGAGAAAAAAAATACATACAGAAATAAATAAATACATAAAACATTAAGCACATAAGTAAAGGAGTAGTCCGCATAAGACCTGAATTCGGCCCACTAAATTATTACTATTTTATTGGCTCAATCTATCCAGAATTCATCAAACTTATCTTATTCAGTGCCTTCGACTTTTAAAAGTCGAAGGCACTGAATAAGATAAGTTTGATGAAT